AGAGTAACCAAGACAGGTATAAGGTAGGTGTCACTGCTGAGATGCTGAGGACAGAGGTTTCTAGCTTGTTGGTCACTGCTGGCTGCTGTCACCTCCAAAGACAGCTGTTGCCTTTGCTGGATCTCAAAAAACAGAGAAACACCACAGATGGTTGCCCCTGCACCACGTGGACACTTGTTCTGCTCCCCGGGCAGCAGTAGCTGCTGCACACCCTGCTGCTGGGGCTCCTGCATTGTGAACATTTCCTCTTTCAAAAGAGAGCTGAGGGCAGGGAGAGATGAGGGCTCGTTTGTTCTGGGGGCAAAGGGAACACTGGCAGCTCAGGGCTTTCCTCAGCAGCACAAACTCATGGTCCCATTGCCTGGAAGTGGGGTCCTGGATGCTGGAAGCCAGGCTGGTGCTGTTGAGAAGGGGGTTCCTGTCCCCTGGGTTCTTGCAGCAGGGGTGTGACCTGCCAGTGCCCAGCACACAGACACAGCATCTCACTGCTAACAAGGCAGCTTCAGTGCATCCAACACCCACCTCTTCATCTGCCCTCTGTAACCTGCTCCAGGGTGACCTCGTTGCCCTGTCACATGAGGCAACACAAGGCAGCTAAGCCCTCAATGAAAGTGCCTTTCATTTAAAGCACGAGTCTAATCAAGAGCAAGAATGGCTGAAAAATAACATCTGAAGGACAAGCTCATCACTGTAATGAAGATGAAGGGATTTAAATGCAGTGAGCTGCAGGAGTGTAGAGAAAAATGTGACTTTGCTGCCACAGAGTGCACTGAGCAGCTCAGCATCTGCCTAGGAGGGAAATAAGGCATTTCCCCCTATCACATCTCTATCACATCTCTATCACATCTCTATCACATCTCTATCACATCTCTATCACATCTCTGCTGAAGCTAAAAATATCGATAAAATAAACCTAATCCTGAGCATGAACAGGGCTTCCTAGTTTCAGGGGGTCTTACTCCTGCATGTCCCCATTTTTATGTCCAGCTCTCACTCTAACCTTGATGTTAACAACTTTTAATCACTGACCACGAGACAGACAGACTCATGACACAGGGACTGTGGGGGCAGAACACAGCCTTAAGGAGGCTGAGCTTTATAAAACTGCAATGGGCAGCCTCAAACATAAAGCCAGTCTTGTCATTTTTTTGTGTTCAAACAGCTTTGGTGAGGAGTGACTGCTTCAAAGTGCACTTTATGTTCTCAGAGGAGCTGCATCAGGTCCCTGGCAGTGCAATATCCCTCGTGCTTCTCCATCCCAACCATCTCCTGGGGCAGCTTCCCTCGGACAGGCTCTTCCCCAGCCATGGCACAGTGTCACCGTGAGCAGCCCCTTCACCACTGCTGGCCTGAGCACTGAATCCAGGAAGACTGGCAAGAGCTGGACCAGGATTTGTACGATTTTCAGCGTTTCTGCTTCCCTCTTGTGGTGAGGAAACAACCCGAGAGACAGACGTGGTGTGCAGGTGGTGCCCATGGGCTGCACTCGATGGGTCTCAGCCAAATCACCCGTGGGACACAGCCTGGATCTCTGCTGGGACTGGGTGGCAGCTGACTCCAGCATGTGGGCTCTGGACCTGGAAGTAGGTGTCCCTGGGCTGTTCTCCTTTTGCTTGCCTCCCTCTAAAGGGGAGAATGTGTCTGGGTGGGTTGAATTTATTGCTCGTTGTGCTCCCCTTCCCTTTGGTCTTTTTCAGAGCATCTGAAGAAGTGCAGAAGAAAGCAGGAAGGCTCACTGCAAGCTCCTGGCTCCAGTTAATTACAATGGATGTTTGTAAGATACATGAAAACACCTCCAAATGCAGCGTGAGCTCCATGGAGTGCTTCATGGTCCTCAGCACCCAGGCACAGAAGATCAGCATTGCCACGCTCTGCGGCCTCTTTGGGACACTGTGCATTTTTGAGAACTCTTTGGTGCTCTACTTGATCTTCTCCTCCCCTGGCACCAGGAGAAAGCCTTCCTACCTCTTCATCAGCAGCCTGGCCTTGGCTGACATCCTGGCCAGCATCATCTTTGTCTGCAGTTTTGTTAACTTCCACGTCTTTAACGTAACCAATTTCTCTAAAGAAATGTTCCTGCTGCAGCTGGGAGGGGTGAACACCTCCTTCTCTGCCTCCCTGAGCAGCTTGCTGCTGACAGCCCTGGACCGTTACATCTCCATCAGTCGACCATCTGAATACAAGCTCCTGATGACGAGGAAGAGAGCATGGATAGCCCTGGGGGTGCTCTGGGTGACCTGTGTGACCATTGCTTCCCTGCCCCTCCTGGGCTGGAACTGCTGCACGCTCGACTCAACCTGCTCCGAGCTCTTCCCCTTTGTGGATGACAGATATCTGTCCAGCTGGGTCTGCTTCACCATGGTCCTGCTGGGCTGCATTGCCTACGCCTACACACACGTGCTCTGGAGGGCTCACCAGCACGTGGCCTACATGGAGAAGCACCAAGTGCAGGTGGGAAAGCAAAACACCAGGATGAGGATGGACGTCATGCTGGCCAAGACCCTCGCCATGGTGCTGACAGTCCTGGTGCTGTGCTGGTCTCCAGCCCTCGTTCTCATGATCTACAGCATCTTTGCCAGGCTCAGCGATCACCTGCGCAAGGTGTTTGCCTTCTGCAGCACCCTCTGCCTGCTCAATTCCATGGTGAACCCCATTATCTATGCCCTGCGGAGCAAGGAGCTCAATTCCTCCCTGAGGATGGTCTTTTCTCGGTTCAGGAGGCAGCTGAAGGGCTCTGAGGAAAGCCCAGAAGCAGAGAGCACCCACAGGTCCTCCATGATCGAGACCATCTGCGACGACATGCACGGAACGTAGGGAGGCAGCTGGGGAAAGTCTGCCCTGGGGCTGGCAGAAGCAGTCTGGATCACTTCTCTTCTTCCTTTCTCTTCTCATGGAGGTCCTGGGAGATGAGGGATCAGATGCCTGTCACGGAGCCAGCCCCTGCTGATGTTATTCTTGGATGCTGGAACATAAAGTGCACAGATTTCTACAGGCAGCTGATCCCCAAGCTGCAGAGGCACTGGTGCCACGTCAGCGTGCCAGCCATGAGGCAGCAGATAACAGGCAGCCATGCCCCAGAACAGCAGATCCTGATATTTTATGACAGCTTGTCCTGCCTGGCCTTCCACCTGTCCACCAGTAACCACCCAACCCCTTTTTCTTACCTTCAGTGATGTCTTCCCTCATAAAATCAAGCTAACTTCAAGAAAACCACAGTAGACCTTCAGGATCCCAAGAAATCCCCAGGTTCTACATCTTGACAGCTTTTCCTGCCTGGCCTTCCACCTGCCCACCAGTAACCACCCAACCCCTTTTTCTTACCTTCAGTGATGTCTTCCCTCCATAAAATCAAGCTAACTTCAAGTAAACCACTCTGTAGACCTTCAGGATCCCAAGAAATCCCCAGGTTCTACATAACTCTCTCTAAATCCTCTAACCAGGCACAGGCAGGGTTGTACAAGCACCATCAGCCAAGTGCTAATGGACATCCCTGCGTGGCAGAGGTTCATCTAGTTATACCAGACTTGAACAGCACTCCAGGGTGTTATGTATTAGCAGCACAGTGACAAAAGGTCTTCAAATCCTGGCAAAGGTGGCAGAGAACAACAACAAATCCTGAGGAGCTGCTGCTGATGGTGAATGCCTCGCTGCACCACACAGGAGCAGGGCCAGCAGCAGCAGGAGGCACCTTGGCCTTTGCTGGTCTCAGTCCAGGTTTCTTTGGACTCAACAGACAGTCCTGGCTAATGGTGTCCCACAGCATTTAGGATCCTGCTGATTTTAGCATCTAATCATTGTGGAAAACTGAAATGCTCTCACTGTGGCTCATGGGCTGTGCCATAGCTGAGGACTTTGAGGTGGACAGGACCTTTCAGGCAGCACGTTTCTTTCAGCAGATTTTGGGACAGCTAACCTGCGCCCCGCAGGCGTTTGCTGGATGTTACCTGGTTAAACATTAAAGCCATTTTTCAGCCTTTTCCTCCGTTAACCTCTGGGACACAAACTCATTCAGGAGATGAATTTAAGCCTAAGCTGAGGCAGAGACTCTGAACGTGACGAACTCGATAGATTTATTGATTTGTTTTTTGTTAAATTACACAAAAGCAGCACCTTTAGCCGCAAAACCTGCAAGGAGAGCAAAGTGGGACAGGGCCCTTTGCCAGTGCCCTGAAGAGCAGCGGGGCTCCCAAAACACCTCTGACGAGGATGAGCCTGGCCCAGGGCATGACCACGAGGCCCTTGGACTCTGTCCTGTTTCCCCAGAGAGCTCACCCATTCCTTACATGCATGTTTTGGAGCCAGGCCCTGGATCTGCTCCAGGAGCTACCGGGGGTGAGGGGTCTCGTGGAGGCCGAGCTGCCATGGGGCCAACCCCATGGCCTCTCTTTTGGCCCCTCATGGGATGGACACAGGGGCTTAAACTGCAGGAGGAGGCACAGAGGTGGATATAGTGGGGCAGAGCTGGGCTGGGAGGGAAGGAAGGAACTTCTTGAAGATCAAGAAGGGCACGTGTAGGGTCCTGCACTGGTGCAGGTGAGGGGTTAGCCTGCTGGAAAGTGGCTCTTTGGAGAAGGACCTTGGAGTGCTGGTGGACAAGTTCACCATGAGCCAGCAATGGACCCTCATGGCCAAGAATGCAAATGGTCTCCTGGGGTGCATTAGAAGAGTGTGGCCAGCATGTCGAGGGAGGTTCTCCTGACCCTCTGCCCCTGCCCTAGTGAGGCCAAATCTGGAGTACTGGGTCCACTTCTGGGCTCTTCAGTCTAAGAGAGACAAGGATCTACTGGAGAGA